TCTCGCTTCCCCCCGCGCGGCAGCCGCCCAAGGGCCCATCGCGTCGTGCTGGGCCGTTCGAGGTCGCCCAGGGCCCTCGAGGCGCGGCGCCGCGTCCAAGAGAGCCCGCGCGGCAGCTTGGCCGGCCGTCGAGCCGAAGTCCGCCTCCGCGCCCTCGCACCGGATGCGCGCCACCGCCTTCGGCCGCGAGAGCTCGGACGGGGAAGACCACGTGGGACCTGCTCTAGAGAGCAGGAACATACCGCAGACGGGTCTACCCTTCCTCCGACATTGCACCGCGCCGAACGCAAGGGCCGCATTGTCCCTAGACGTCTGCCCTGAAGGCGTCTATGGACGTCAGGGCACCCAGTGTGTCCATAGACGCTTTTGGCTAGGATGTGAGGGCGGTGTGTGGCATCGGCCCCAGATGTTGGTCCTCTGGAGGCAGGGCGGGCGTGGCCCTCCGAAAACGGGATTTGCGCGGGCTGACCGCGGACACGGCACCCGGGTGGAGGAGAGGGGGGGAAGGGCAAGCTGGGCGCGCTCGCGCCACATCTGGCATCCTGCCCCACCCCCTCCCGTCCCCTCCCTCCCACCGCGTTGATGTTTGTCTCGGTTCGCCAGCGGGTGTCATGGCGAACGTGGAATTCCCCAAAGAAGCCCATCGTGTTGTGCTCAATCTGTAACGGGGAGCTGAGTCGACTGGAGGAGGACGTGGCGGATGAGCAGGAGGATGAACAGGAGGAAAAAGGAGACATAAGCCCCACTTTGTGCACGCGCGCTCGAGGAAGAAAGGGAAGTCCGCCATCCGCTCGTTGAGGTTCTGGCAGATCTCCCGCCGATGGCGCCAACAAGTTCAGACAATGATGACGAAAATGGCCTTCCATTCCAATATTCAGCCCATGCCTATACAAGGCAAGTCCACCTTTTCGCCTGCGCTTCGTGCACATGTATCGTCTTAGTCACGTTCGTCTTCACCATCCTCACGACAAGAAGCAGCGTGATCGTCATCATCTCATGGCCACCACTGCCACCATCACCACCATCACCGACTCATCAGTCATCGTCATCATCGTCGTCGTAATCAACCTCATTCCAATCATGACCATCATCAGGATCATTATTATCTTCAACATCACCATCATCCTTATCATCATGATCGTAAGCAAAACAAACACCACCACACACATGACCGCACTATCGTTACCATCACCACCACCATACCACCAACCATCTTCAACATTATCCCTATCGTGTCCATGTGTTCCTGCTGCTCCTGCTCTTGCCCCCCACCGTTGCTCCTCCCTAGCCCTACAGCGTGGAAGAAACGGGTCCTTAGGGAAACGGGTGCTGGACCCGTAAGCCTTCTCCCAAGAGCATTTTTTTTCCGACGGCATGGGAACAACAATAGTTTCACATAGCGTGATTGTACTGATGGACGCTGCCACGAGTGGGAGTGAGAAGGCCATGCCACGCGACACCGCGGCCTCGGGCGACACCGCCAACTCACTCGAAAAGAGCATACATGTCTTGCTCGCCGCTGCAGCGCCTCCGTACTGGAAAGCTGCCTCGTGCCATTGCAGGCCGTACGCTGCAACGGTGCCGCACGCAATTTGCGGGCGGTCAAGCATTGGACGTTGAAAGGAACCCTGAAACTGGCGTTCATCACGGGCTGAGGGGGTCGGCGGATCATCTCCTCAGGAGAATAAAAAAACTGCGGCCTCATCGTCGGCTTCCCATATTGCCGAATCAGCATTCATGATGATGTGGTCTGACGAAAAAGGAGATGGCGCCTGAGCTGGCGTCGGTGCTGGTGTAGATGCTGATCATGAGTCGTCATCTGACGGTCCCAGGGTTCGTGGAGGGCGCCCGGAGCCCGAAGACGGCGAAACAGCTCAGGTGTTGCTTCCAGCAGGACCCGCTTCCCCCACGGCGAATTGTGCCTTGTCATCGCTCGGACGTCCATTCCCTGTGCTTTTACCGTCTTCGTGAGTTTGCAGTCGGGCCGCTGAACCAAGGAACGCTGCATAAGGAACGAAGCCCCATGTGGGTCCCCAGACCGCCTTCGTTCACGAAGAGGGCTTGAGAAACAGCCAGGGAAGGACTCATGGAACATCCAGGCCGTTCCAGACCCGAACTGCTCCTTTTTTTCAGCGCTCTGTTTGTATTTTTGTTCGAAAGCTTATCAAATATGTTCCTTGATGGTCCTCGCCCACAGGGGCGCCCAAGAGGGGGGCGTCCACGAGGGGGGTGCAAATCATGGCTCGAGGCACGTGCGCGGACCAGGGGTTGCCAGGGGAGATCGCATGGCCCTGGCCATGCTATCCACCCCGCCTAGTCTTCACCCCCCTCTTCAGAATATGAAAAAACCTACAGGGACTCCACGCGGAACGCCAAACGTGTTTGTTTATGTGTTGTTTCTTCTTCGACTCTTGGCCGTTCCCGGAAACCGCGCTCGCCCGAACGATGCCTACCTGCCGGGCCCGGAGGGTCGCCGGAGCGGCCGCGACGGGCTGGCCGCCTCGCGGAACGTCTGCGGGCCTCCCCCGCCGAGCTGGCCGTCCAGCAGCAGCGCCGGCGAGGAGGAGCTCCGCTCGCGGCGCTGCGCGGAGGAGGGCCGCCTGGCGGAGCGCGGCGGCTACCAGCAGAGGAGGAGAACGGGAGGAGGAGGAGGAGGAGGAGGAGGAGGAGGAGGAGGAGGAGGAGGAGGAGGAGGGAGAGGGGAGGAGAGGAGGAGGAGGAGGAGGAGGAGGGAGGAGGAGGAGAGGAGGAGGAGGAGAGAGGGAGGAGGAGGAGGGAGGAGGAAGAGGAGGAGGAGGAGGAGGAGCGAGGAGGAGGAGGAGGAGGAGGAGGAGCGAGGAGGAGGAGGTGTGCTGAGCGTGCTGACTACACGGGGCAGGGCCCCCTCTCCGCAGAGCATCAGGCCTACCACTCGGCAGGCTCCTCATAAAACTCGCCCCCCCCCCTCCCCAGGGACCTGGAAAAGTCCACCACGGCCGAGGGGGAATCAAAACCGTGCAACAATGCGACCTGCCTGTCGTCTAGCTGCGGCACGTTGGTGCCGCACTTGACCTCGAAGGCCGCTGGAGCACGCATCGACTGAACGTCCCCACTTACTGCCCCCTGCCCCCACGCGCCTCCAGCGAGGGAGGGGAAGCGGGAGGCCCAGGCCTCGATGTCGTCGCCTGAGGGGGCGCGGACGTCCACGATCCGCGCCTTAAGGCGCCCTGGCATGAGCCTTCGGCGGAGGAGGGAACGCTGAGCCCGCAGACCAGGGGCCCCCCTCCCACGACACACCCCGCCCAGCCCCTCACCCGACCGAACAATCTTGTGCACCGAGGACCCGCAAATTTTACAGACTAAAACATCTGGCTCGGGCTCCGCCCCTTCGGTCAGGGGCACGACCGACGCCTTGGCGACCGAGTGACTATTGAAAGCCCAAGGCGTCCCAGAACACTCCTGAAGATCAGGGCCCTCCTCACCTCCCGCAGCAGCAGCAGAAGGGGAGGAACGAGGGGGCGGCGGCGGCGGAGGAGGCGGCAGGGAGGCCGAGGACGCAGCTCCCCTGACAGGAACCATGCCTGGGATCGCCGCAAACGGCTCCACCCCCTCCTCACAAGCCGCACTGGCCAGGCACTCCCACTCGAAAGGGCTGAGCTCGAAAGTGATATCCGAGGCCCCAACAACCCCCTCGGAGTCGACGAAACCCCCATCAACCATCAACTGTTCGGCCCTCGCATGCCATCTCGAGACATCGCGGGCCATGGCCTCGACCCCCTGTACAAAGGCGCACTGCTGAGGGGGGGCCGACCACCTCAAGGCACCTTTTTTCGCCCAGCGGTCCGCCATCTGATTGCCGAGGATCAGCCAATCATCTTCAAAGCTGGTGGCCGAGGAGCGCGCGCGATGCGCCTTGACCTTGACAGCTGTCGCCTGGTGGCCGATCCCCCCCCACCAGCGGACCCAAAAGTGCCCTCTAGAATTCGTGGGCTCGAGCGCCACGCCTGGATTCACCGCGCACTCAATCGAGCCCGCACAGTCTGAGTAAACAGTGAGGGGATCTTCAGCATTCCACTCCGAGTATCCAGCCAAGACCTGTAAGGCTCTATCCTCTCCATCTCGCGCCATTTGGTTGGGCGCGCAGCTGAGAGGAACCACTCCAAAGGCTTAGCTGGCCTTTTTCCCTTACCTCTCTGTGGATGATGATATCCGCGAACATGGAAGGAAATACATAGGCAAATCTTAGGAACATGCACACCAATTCTTGAGTGCTTAGAACCCCTAGACTTTGGAACGAAATTGGGGGGAAATCAAAGTAAAACTGTGTACGAACCCCCATACATAGTAAAAGCCCATAGACTTTGGAACGAAACCGAGGGGCAAATCCGAGTAACACTGTATACTAACCCATTACAAAGCCAAGCCCATAGACTTTGGAAGGAACCTGAGGGGCAACTCCGAGTAAAACCGTATACGAATCCCTTCAGGCTGGGCACTCCTAGCGGCTGGGCGTCTAGCGCAGCAGGGTTGGGATCAACGATGCCGGAGGACACGCTCGTCCTTCTCTTCATCCCTCTCTTCCTCGACCTCCTCCTCCTCCTCCTCGGGAGTCCCGAGACCTGAGACCATAACAACTTAAGAGTTTTGGGGGCCCCTGAAGGCCCAGGGTCCGAGGCCCACAGGAGGCCCAGGGGGCCCAGGGTCCGAGGCCCACAGGGCCAGCCGCGGAGTCAAAAACGGGTAGCGAAGCCAGCAGGAGGAGGAGGAGGAGGAGGAGGGGGAGGAGGAGGTGCAGGCAGCTGCTCGCGCGGGCGGGGCGCTGGCAGGCAGGGAGGCCTGCGCCTCGAAGGAGTCCCCGACGTAGTAGTAGGAGGAGGAGGAGGAGGAGGAGGAGGAGGGACAGCAGGAGCAGGAGGAGCAGGAGGAGGAAGAAGAAGCAGCTCGCGCTGGCGGGCCGGGAGGCCTGCGCTTCGAAGGAGTGAGAGAGGTAGGAGTAGGAGGAGGCGCAGGAGGAGCAGGAGGAGAAGGAGGAAGAAGAAGCAGCTCGCGCTGGCGGGCCAGCAGGCCTGCTCCTGGTAGGAATCCCCGACGTAGGCGGAGGAGGCAGAGGAGGAGGAGAAGGAGGAGGAGGAGGAGGAAGCAGGAGGAGGAGATGGGGAAAAGGTGGAGAAGCAGGAGGAGGAGAGGAGGAGGAGGAGGGGAGAGGAGGAGGAGAGGGAGGAGGAGGGGGGGAAGGAAGAGGAGAGAGGAGGAGGAGGAGGAGGAGGAGGAGGAGGAGAGGAGGAGGAGGAGGAGGAGGAGGAGGAGGAGGAGGAGAGCAGCTCGCACACTCAGGCCGCAGCCTCGGGCTGGCCGGGAAGGCCTGCGCCTGGAAGAGGTCCCCAACGTAGACGGCGGAGGAGGTGGAGGAGGAAGAGGGGGGATGCAGGGGGAGGCAGGGGGAGGCAGGGGTTGACGTTTTTTTATGTTTTGATCACTCGCAAAACGCGTCCTGCTTCCCCCATGGGCCACATGGGCCGTCTGAGCCTCTTGGCCAGCACCCGCCTCTCTCTCCAGAGGCAGGTGCTCCTGGCCGCCCGCAGACGCTCAACCCTCGTCGTATTGCTGAGCTTCCTCAGCTGCTGCTTGTCCTGGTCAGGCTCCGCCGCCGCCGACTCCACCAGCAAGCTGCTCCTCTTCCTCCGAGCCGTGGTCATCGTCGCCCGCGCCCATGGCGGACTCTTGTTCTTCTTGCACCTCAGCGTCATCTTCGCCGCCGCCCAGGCCCGCATCCGTCTGGAGCGATTCCAACGCCTTCTTCAGCTTGGCGGGGATCGCTGCCTTGGCAGCTTTCAGCTCCTTGAAGAAGTTGCCCACGAGAGCCGCGCCATCTTTTGCGAGGAGGAGGCACATGCCGCTCCTGATGGCAACCATCGTTTTTGCTTTGTTCTTCTCCTTCACTGCCTCCTGGACCTTCTCCTCGAGCTGCGCCATGTTGTCGAAGAGACCTGCGACCGGACACGATAGTTTCTTCCACATGCCTTGTTTGACGTTCATCGATCTGATAGTCTCCATCAGCGTAACGCGCCCAGGCATATCCTTGATGACCTCCATTTTCTCTGGGTTCAAGTCTTTGAGCGCGTCCTTGCAGTCGATCATGTTTGGCTGCACTGTGTTGCTCAGTGTCTCGAGCTTACCTGCGATCTTCTCCAGGGTGCCCAGGATGTTAGTTTTCTTCGCCTCGGTCCAATGTTTGAGAACGTGGCTCAGGTGCTGGCGCGTGTCTTCCGACGGGCAGCCCGTCTCCGCGCCTTCGCGAGACATCCAATCCACGAGCTCCGACACGTCACGATTGTTCTCCACGAAACCCTGGTGCAACTTTTCCGAGCCCTGCAGGCTCACTTGCGCTAGGCTCTGCTCTACAGTTGCTTTGCCGTCCAGGCCCGCCGTTCAAACCCTGGCCCACTTACGTCCTGCAATCACCTGCTTGTCCGAAACCCTATAAAGAGCCCTCCCAGGCCCTCCCCATATTTCTTTGGCCCAGACAGCAAAGCAAAGGAGCCTCGGCTAGCACTGTGAGCCCCAGCCCAGAACCTGGTCGCAAGTGTCCACGGCGATCGCAGCACAGAGGGCCGGGACCAGCTTCATCAGGAAAGGGACGCGCAGAGATTCGGAGCCGGGCGCAGTCGGCAACTCGTCGATCTGCTCGTCTCCGAAAGTGTCCTTGTATTTCTCTGCCAAGCTCTTGTATAGCAACCCGATGCTGATCTGGCCGTCCAATTTGCCCAGGATGCTGGTCAGCTTCTCGTCGCGCACGCGGTTCGTCACCTCCTCAGGGATGTCCAATGAGCCCGTGACGGTCACAGAAATTTTGTTGAGGTCGTTGTCTGCGATGCTGACCGGGGACACACCATTTTCGCTGTTGACCTGCATCAGGGCCTGCATTGTCTTGCAGAGAGGCCCAGGTATCAACTTGTGAAACTCACATAGGTTCGTCATCACGTTCGTGAAGTTCAGGCTGTCTGGGATCTCGATCGTCGTGCTGAGAATGCTCAGGAGATCGGTGGGGTACGGCGTGTTCCCCTCTTTCACAGCGTGCTTGGCGATCGTAGCAGAGCCTGAGATCTCACTGCTCGTCATCTTGCTCAGAGCTACGTTGAGCCGCTCTGTTGGATCACCACTCGCCAGGATATCCACGACCTTGAAGTACTTGCAGTACTGCAGCAAAAAGGCCCAGTTGCGCAGCGCGACCACTCGGGGTGAGATCTCTTGATCGAATCGAGGCGATGCCGGGGCCATGATGTCGCGCAGCTTCTCGACACACATTGCCAGGGAAAGGGCCTGGCCCTGCACCCACTTCAGCACGTCCTTCACCGTGCCCTCCTCGGCCTCGAGGATGTTGCCGGGGACCTCTGGAAGCATGAAGCGCCTAAAGAGTCTAACCGTCTAGCTTAGCAGCCTAGCCCTAGACTATATTATATAGCCTACAGCTGTTTAGCATATAAGTCTAAGCATAGCCAGCCAGGGCCTCTATAGCCGTAGCCTAACCTAATAGCGAGCTCCTATCGACCACCCTTGCCCGAAGTGTCCCTGAGAAGATCGCTTCGAGGAGCCTCGGCCCACGGGATCGTTTTTTGGCGCAGGGGAGGGGCTCTGGACGTCATCGATCAACAGAGAATCAGAATCCCAAGATAACAAACACAAGCAGTCCCTGGAGACAACTTTCTGATACCACGCACCTGGAACATGATCGAAGCTGCCATTCTGTCAGTGAACGTGACCATGACCTCTGTTACCTCGTCGCCATTCGTCTCGGTCCAGTTGACACCACTGCAGCGGGTGACCTGCGCGTTGTACTTGTCCATCTGGTGCGAGATCACGGACCGATCAGTCGCTGGCAACATGCTCAATGAAGAATTCAACGATTTGGTGATGTCCGTTGCCACTTGCTGCTTCTGCTCTGTCGCCTGCACCTCTTTCAGCTTCTCGGTCAAACCCTTCAGGGCATTCTCGAAGGGAATGGGCTTCCTCCGCTTGATAAGAACCAGGTAGACAGAGGAGTCCTTCTTTTGCGTCAGACGGGTGACGGCCGTCTGCACCGATGCCCTCATGGCCGACGATATCGCTCGGCCAGGCGGGATCTCCTGCGTCTGGTAGTAGACGTTGATGGCTTTCATGTCATCCACAATTGTCTTCGGCAAGCCCCCCAGGGAAGCCACTGACGTGACCAGCTGCTTGAAGTGTTCGTCATGATCCGTGGAGTGCATGGTCTTCATCTGGTCCAGGTGAGTGCCGATCACCTTCGGGATTCTGAACGCCTCCTCATTCCTCCTGGCTCCTCCTCTTCCCCCCAACTCCTCCTCCCTCTCCCCCTCCTGGCTCCTGGCTCGTTCTCCTGACTTGAGGCGACTGGGCTCAAGCAGGGGCCGAGGCCCCAATCCGAAACAAGGGCCAGGTTACCAGGAGCGGCCGCCTAGGCCAGACGGCAAGGCCAACTCTAGGCCTTCTAGAATGTTTTTCAAGCAAGAAAGAAACAAGCAACACACATATCTGACTGGTGCTTTTTGGGTTGCCAGGCCTTCGGCAAAAGACTGTGGGCATGCCCTGCCCGCTCCTCCACTGGGACCATGCCGAGGCCGTCGGCGTTCGAGTCCTGGATCAGATTCAGCTGCTCACCCAAGCTATCGACAGCGCTCAAGTTCTTGCCCGATACGACCTTCGCAATGTAGCCGGGGACCTGCTTGCCTTTCAACTTCGTTTTGAGCGTCTGGTACGTTTGTTTGGCTGCCGCGGGTTCGAGGCTCTGCAATTTGTTGAAACCCTTCTTGAACGCGCAGACGTGCGTCAGCATCTCGACGTGCTCCGCCAGCGAGGCGATCTCCTGCCCAGTGGTGTTGGCCCCTTTGGCCTTGAGGAACCGATTGGCCGCGCCGATCTTCTCCTGGATTTCGGTCAGCATGTGCCCCAATGGGCGCGGCTTGATGGCCGACCACTTGCTGTCGAGGAAGTCGCCCAGGGCCTCCTCCAAAGGACTCAGGAGCTCCTTCGCGTAGCTCTTGGCTTTCTCGTCGGCCTTGCTCGTCGCAGGAGTGCTGCTGCGGACGCTGGCAGCTGAGCTGCCGCCTCTTGCCTTCGGAGGGGGCGTTGCATCGAGCGATGGCGCTGTGGAAGGAGCCAGAGACGAATTATCAGGCCCCTTAGCTTTCTTCGCAGGGGGGGGGGCCTTGCTCCTGGCCTTCTCCTTCTTGCTGGCATCCGCATCCTTGCCGGGGTCGCTTGGGGCCTCGGAGTCCGAATCGCCCGCCGAGAAGCTCTTCCCCTCGCTCTTCTCTGACTCGCCGTCACTGCTAGAGCCATCGGGCCCATCATCTCCGGGCTCGTCGAGGTCGCAAGCCTCCGCCGCCCTCCTCTTCAGCTCAGCCAGGCGAGCGCGCTCCCTCGCCTCCGTCTCGTTCATGATGGATGGGCCAGCTGCTGCAGCATCTGCCTGGGGATTCAGTCTCGATTAGTTGGCTCAGTTCGGACTGGCCTACGGCCTACCCTACTCTGAACTGTTCTTGCGCAGCCTGGGTGTATTTAACTTAATTTCAGTACTTTGGCCTTAGGCTAACTAAACGCCAGGCCATCCATGGGCCTTGCTTCATCCAAGAATCTGAGATGGTCCGTTGCAGCCTTCGGCTGGACGCGGCTCTGAAGTAGGCCAGGAGAGATAGCGACTGCAAAACGGATGCGAAGGGGCGGTGGGAGATATCCCGATATCCGAGAACCTGGGCGCCAGCGAACACTTCATCGGCATGATCCTCGTGGAGCGCGTCGCCCTCCTCGAGAGCCGCCTCCTCCAGCGCCAGCTCGTCCTCCACGATGTTCTTCAACTGGAACACGCCCTCCTCGCCGTGCCTCACGGCGTATCCGTGAAGCTCGGTGCCGTCCCTCTGCTTGACCACGTGCTTTTTGGCTTTGTTTTCTCTGGGGCATCCGAATTTTTTCCGACGCGCCTTCTCGGTGTAAAAGTAGACGCCGCCATCGACCAGTTGCTGTTTGACGCTCTTCTTGGTGGTCACCTTCTTCTTCTGCGAGCCTCGCAGCCTGACCGCTCCGCCGCCTTTCTTGATAACCCAATTGCCCTGCATCTTCCTGAACTTACGCTTGATGTGGACCTTCTCCGTGGTAACCGTGTCCCAATCCTCGAGGTGGGGCAATTCCCTCTTGAAGTTCGTCCGCCAGAAGCTGAAGCAGTTCCCGCACCACTTGCCAGAAGGTGTCTTGAACTTGCGGAGCACGCCAGTGCGCTTGTTCTTGAAAGACTTGTTGCGGTACCGGGCCCATTTCACCCTCTTCGGTTTTTCCTGGATGACCGAGATGGGGCAGTTAGTCGACTGAATGCTGCACCCGTTGCACTCCTGGACGTCCATCGAGTAGTCGCTCTCGTTATCGCTGGCAGCGCCTGCTGCCGTCGTGCCGAGCTCGCTGGCAGGGGCCTCCTCATCGCCACTATCAGACCCGCCGCCACCGAGCCCGGCCAGGTCAAGCTCGGCGCTGGGCATGGCGTCGCAGAAGTAGTGCGACACGAAGCGGCTCACCGAACGCCGCAAGCCAACTAGGGGGAAGCAGGGAAGCAGTTCTCTAATCAAATACCGCCCTGAGCGAGCCTAAGTCCGATCCCAAACGGCTACAGGAGTGAGGGAGGGGAAGGAATCATACAGTAGAGGCACGGAGTTACGGTAAGGGTAAGGCCCGTGGGAGGGCAGCGGACAACTTCATGGTCCATACTCCATGCTACCCTTGTTTGGGGGGCTGACGGGCTGACGGTTGCAAATGAATATTGTCGACGCGACCCCCCATATTATTACTCGCCGTTGTCCGTTGCCTCTTGTCATGGCCTACCCCCTCGCCCCTGACTCTCTCCTGAACCCCGTGGGACAATATCGGCTGGGCGTCAGGGTTGGGATCAACGATGCCGGAGGACACGCTCGTCTTTCTGTTCATCCCCTCTCTTCCTCGTCCTCCTCGTCGTCGTCGTCGTCGTCCTCCTCCTCCTCCTCCTCGGGAGTCCCGAGACCTGAGACCATGACAACTTAAGAGTTTTGGGGACCCCTGGAGGTCCAGGGTCCGAGGCCCACAGGAGACCCAGGGTCCAGGAGGTCCAGGAGGCCCAGGGTCCGAGGCCCACAGGGCCAGCCGCGGAGTCAAAAGCGATTCCAAAGTCCAGGGATGGAGCCAGCAGGAGGAGGAGGGGGAGGGGGAGGGGGGAGGTGCAGCAGCACTCTACTCCCCCAAGTCCCACACGCCCGCCCGTTGCCCCGTCTCCAATTGGGGTTGGGGGTACGCCGAGGGACAAGGTCCAGGAGCAGCCCAGAACACTCTGAACAGGGCTCCCGCCTGAGACTTCCTCGTAATTCACTCACAGACGAGGTCCACAGGGGCTCGAAGGGCTCGCAGAGGTCCAGCAGCACGCAGAGGCAGCGGGGCACAACACGGCGGCCAAGACACGCGCGATCAGCTGCGAGTGGGCTCAGGAGAGCGAGGGCCCCGCCCAGGAAAACCTGGGAAGGTCCCTCGCACGGCGTGGTGAATATACGATTCACCCAGCGTGGCGTACCGCCGACCCGTCGCCGCCTGAGCCCTAGCTGACGCGCGTGCCCCGCACCCAACGCAAGCAGCCTCCAGTGGTACCGCAGGTACCGCGCCTCCAGGGTGGCGAATCCCAAGAAGAACGAGCCTGGGAGCTCCGGAGGCTACCGAGTCGCCACAATCACCAATCACGAGGACCAGCCAGAACATCCCCAACAAGCCCATCTGCCCATCAGGATGGAATGCGCGTGCAGCGTGGACACATATCGTACAGCACCATGTCACATGTCGGAATAATGAAATACAATCCACCAATGCCGCGTGTCCGCCGCTCCCATGAGCTGAAGCAGGTCGGCGAGGCATGCGGCATGCCCAAGACCTCCTCCTCCTCCTCCTCCTCGGAGTGACCTCTCCCCTACGCTGCGCTCCTCCTCCTCCTCCTCCTCCTCCTCCTCCTCCTCCTCCTCCTCCTCCTCCTCCTCTCTTCCCCGACCTCCTCCTCGACCTCCTCCTCCTCGGGAGTCCCGAGACCTGAGACCATAACAACTTAAGAGATTTGGGGACCCCGGGGCCCCTGAAGGTCCAGGGTCCGAGGCCCACAGGAGGCCCAGGGTCCAGGAGGTCCAGGAGGCCCAGGGTCCGAGGCCCACAGGGCCAGCCGCGGAGTCAAAAACGAGTAGCGAAGCCCGCAGGAGGAGGAGGAGGAGGAGGAGGAGGAGGGGGAGGAGGAGGTGCAGGCAGCTGCGCGCGCGGGCGGGGCGCTGGCAGGCAGGGAGGCCTGCGCCTCGAAGGAGTCCCCGACGTAGGAGGAGGAGGAGGAGGAGGAGGGGGAGGAGGAGGTGCAGGCAGCTGCGCGCGCGGGCGGGGCGCTGGCAGGCAGGGAGGCCTGCGCCTCGAAGGAGTCCCCGACGTAGGAGGAGGAGGAGGAGGAGGAGGAGGAGGAGGAGGGACAGCAGGAGCAGGAGGAGCAGGAGGAGGAAGAAGAAACAGCTCGCGCTGGCTGGCCGGGAGGCCTGCTCCTGGCGGGATTCCCCGACGTGGGCGGAGGAGGCAGAGGGGGGGGAGGAGGAGGCAGGAACAGCTCGCCGAGCAAGCAGGAGGGAAGAGGAACTGAGGACTGGAGGAGAAGTAGGAGGAGGAGGATGGGACTCCAGGCTGGTCGGCTGGCGCGCGCCTCGAAGGACCCGCCGATAGGAGGAGGAGGAGGAGGAGGAGGAGGCGGAAAGGGACGAGGGACAGGTGGGCCAGCAGGAGCGTGAGCAGGACAGTCTTTCATGTTCCTCAGAGCTCACAGCTAGAGCTCGCAACATATCTCTCAAACAATGTATGTTCTATGTTCATAATCTCCCGATGTCTCGATATCTGGCGAGGCGCTGACTGCGGGCCATAAGTGCAACTGTATGCGGCGAGGCAATCGCAGAGCATCCGAGCTCAACCCAAACTCAAGCAGTAGAGCCAGTAGAGCCGAGTGCCGCCACCAACTCCGCAGCCACCACCTTGGACAAAGCCTCGTCGATCATCGACCTCGTCTCGATGAGATCGTGGACCATGCCGGACGTCGGCGGGGCGCTCTCGTTCAGGTTCGCAGCGCTAGCGTCACCAGCAGAGGAGCCGTTGCCAGTTGATCCAGAAGACGTCGTAGCCGTCGGAGTCGCACCAGTCGGACGGCGAGTGTAGTCCTTGCCCTCGCCCAAGCTCGTCGTCGCCAAAACGCACCCCACCACTGCAGTCACGCAGGGCATTGTCATCATGTTCCCAGTGAACTTACGCCACTGGCTAGCGTTGATTCTGCCATCCCCACGCCCCAAGTCCAAGCCCATGTTGATGTCCCAGCCCTGCAGCTGGAAGAGCTCGGGGGCGACCAAGAACCTCTTGCGGCCCATGTGGAAGAGCTCCTGAGAACCTGTGGGGGTGCCAATCCTTCCGTTCACGTGAAAGCATCGCCTGTAGGGATTCTGGGAGAGGTCCAGGATAACATCACCCACTTCTCCATGGAGACTGTTCATGCTAATCGCGGCGAGGTCGAGTAGTTCCAATATCTTCCTCATCTGGCCTCCTAGCTTGCTTGAATACGGCTGCCCCATCCGCGCAGCCCGAGCAGGATAGTTCAAAGAAGTCCTGTACGTGTCGAAGTTCTTCTTCGTCTTGTCGCTCATCCCTCTGCCGGAGCGCCCCCCCCACCCGCTGTCCTGCCAGTCGGCCGCCTCCGAGTCCGATAGCAGGAAGTCATTGACATGCGATGGCTTCAGCGTGCTCATGGTTTCGAGCTTGGCGGCGATCTCCCCCAGCTCCGCAGCGCCGCCGACGTCGGACCTGAGGCCCACGATGAAGACCCGCTTTCGCACGTGGGGCAAACGAAAGTGGTCTGCCCTACTCGTCAGCACTTTCCACGTGTAGTTTGGGATACTGAGCAAGCCTATGTCCAGCACGCTCCCGTCCTCCTGCGTGACCTTGCCGCTCATTATCATGTCCAGGGCTGTCATTACCCGTTGGTGCTTCGACGGCCTCGCCCCCCCCCCCCGCCGTCGCCAACTCTTCGCGCTGTGCTGGATCCCGTCGACGTTCTCGAGAATGATTACCTTCACCGACTGGCGCTCTCGAAAGTATTTGGTGAGCGTGAGAAAGGGTTTGGCCTGCGGGTCGGCCAACTTCTCGGCCGGGAAGCGGTCGTACGCAAGGTGATTGATCATCGCGAAAGGTTTGCAGGGAAATCCGCAGATGCCGACGTCGACGTCTGCGCTGGCCTCGACGCAGCAAAACTGATTGTGGACCTTGCACATCCTACTCGTCGGGTCGCAAAGCACAGCCACGTCGCTGAAGAAGTGGTGCACCTTGAAGTTGATGTTGATGAAGTTCTCCGCATCACTGTCGCAGTCAATACTCGTAATGTGATCGACCTTTCCTGGAATAATCTGTTCAAGCCCTCTGATAGGCGCGTCGGTCCCACTGCGCCCGGTCTCGACGCTCAGATTCTGCAGGCCGTTTGTAGCCGCCTCATCACCCCACCACAACACGGACAGGGACTTCATCACATATGAAGGCCAGTCCTGCCAGCGTTTGAAGACGTCGTCATGGAAGCCCTTAGCCTCGAACCTCGTGGGAATCAAAAAAGGCGAAGGGGGGGAGGGAGGGAGGAGGAGGAGGAGGAGGGGGTGGAAGCCGTCGGAGGATTGATTTCGAGCCAGGTACGTAAGCCTCCTAAGGCCTAGGGCCCCCTGAGGACTCCAGAGGCCTCCAAGTTTTCAGTTGGCAGGTCCGAGGCTTCCCAGGTCAATTGGCAGGGGAATCGAGGCAAAACTTAAGCAAAACCTCGGCACTAGAGTGGTTGGGTTGGCTCAGAGTTCTGGGGGGTATTCTGAGGGCGTCGCGTCATGATGCCAGGCCGGGAGGGGGCGATTGGAAGCCAGAAGGGGGGCCCTCGGGGAGTTTTGAAACAATCTTGGAATCGGGGTTGAATTCTTGCGAAGTTATTGGCAAACCACACCGCGAACCCCCAATGTGGACGTTATGAGGCTTACTTTGGGCTGTTTTCCGTCCACACACCTACTATTTGGAGTAAAATCCCCCGCCGCGGACCTTTCAGGGAGGACCACAGTGCTCGAGTCGTCGCTCACGTCCGAGAGGCCGGGGCCGTTCGTGTTGCTCTTGTGGCTGTCGCCTGGGGTCGTTGTTGTTTCTTTTTGCTACCCCCCTACCCTACCCCTTTTTCTCTTCCTCGATTTCCGTTTGAGTTCCCCCTTCCTCCATCCTCCTCAATTCCTTCCCCTACTACCTCCTCCTTTCTCCTCCTCCAAACCCTGCCCCCTGCCCTGCTCGCCGTCGTCGAAGTGGCCAGAATCGTCGGAAATTCCACCATCAGCTGCAGCCAAATCTTTAAGGTCAGAAAGGAGGTCCTGCGACATGCAGCCCCGAGACCAACAGGTCGAAAGTCGAGACTTGAGTAACAAAGTAGCTGCACCAGTTGTTCATGTTT